AAAGAATCTTGTTTTCTCAAATAATATGTAATAATAATTGCTCGTACTCAAGAACGGCGGCGGTTAAAATTAAATCAAAAGTCAAGCATAGATTACAACTTCGTATTATTTCAATTCAATGCTAAACATTGGATTCAATTCAATGCGAAACATTATGTCCTGAGATACTTAGGAGTTTCCTTGAATTTATTTCGAATTTCTTCATAACGCAGTCCTCTGAATGTTATCTATTAAGTAAACCTGTCTGAACTGAAAAAGTATTTTATACACAAGTAGGTACTTGTTTAAAATAGCTGCCATAAAATAAATGCTTATTTTATTTGTCTTGTTGTCTTGTGACACATATTTTCACAGTAGAAAGATAAAAGACGACAATATTATTACGTTTGAGAACGTTTTGTGAGTCGTTATTAAGTATAAAGGCTGTTATGAGTCTAACAGATATGTAAATTTCCCGAGTGTACATTAATAATATAATAGTATACTTATTCCAAGGATAGGAGTGGGTGAGAGAATATAACAGCAACGCTACCATCACTGTTATGGCTAATCAATTCTTTGTAAATTTTTATATTAATATGTTAATATTTATACCCAAACATAATTTTCAACTGGCCTTGTGTACGTAGAAACAATTTATTAATTAATTTTTAAAATGATTAAATTTTCCAATTAGGGACTCCATTTCGATCGTTCAGTATAGTACAAAAATATAAAGTGGATCGAGCCATTCCTATGAAACCACGATTCTTTATTATTTAAAAAATTTCTTGATCATTAAAAGATTTATAAAACTACAAGTAGATAAATTAGTCTGCTAGTGACTTACACTCATAGTTCAAGATTACAATAACTTTTAAACATCGGCGTGAAATGTATTTTATCACAGATCGTCATAAATTATAGCCTATAAAGTTATTTTGGGTAATAAACAATATTACTGTAGTTTCCTCAAAATCCGTTCAATAGTTTTTGCGTGAAAGAGTAACAAACATCCAGACATCGCATTTATAATATTATGTAGTAGGATTGTAGGATAGTAGGAAGGAGGATAGTACTAGAAGTACTTAAGTTGCTTTTAAATGAAGCTGCTTAGAAACGGATTCAAACATTTATTACAAATACTAATTACAGCGGATGAGGTGTACGGTAACAAGGAAAGTCCCGATCGGATTAGTGTCTCGTCCTAGGTACTTATAAATTTCGGGTCAAAGGGCTGCCTTAAATCTATTGAGATCGTATTACCTTTTAATGATGTTTTAAGAACTCCTAAACTAACGATAATACGAGTACATAATTTTCAATGAATACTAGCTGTATTCGAAAATTCACTAAATCAATTATAAATAGAACCGCCACTTTTTACAATTAAGTTAGTTTATCCTACCTGTGACTGTGCTCAGCCTATGTTGCGTACCTACGAGTATACCTACCTTTATGTATCTTGCGACAAGACACCTTGTCGAGTACCTATATAAAATGTTTCTTTTGGTATGGTTTGTTACTTTCAGAAACCAAGAAAAGATAGAAAATAATGCTTGAATTGGACTCTTTTATTCATCTCTTATGTAAGTAAATGTAGGTAGGGTTCTTCAGTAGAAGGCGTAGTGAGGCGGGTCGTTACATTCCCTCTAATATGGTCGAGTGAAGCGATGGCTGGTTCACTCGTCATGTCTGTGAACAGGCGCTGCTTTCGGGGACTGGTCAATCCAAATTATTCCAATTTATGTATGCGAGTCATTTCTACTAGTATTTAGGTATGTAATCTGTAAGTCTAGATATTAGCACGTCACTACCTCGTTTAATATACCACGCAATTTTGTATACCCATTATAAGATACACTATACAAGAATGCATGGTAAATTCAGTGAACTGCTCCTGAATCGAATGTACCTACTACTGATATTTCTATTTATTTATATTAACCGGCAGACAGTGGTGACTGAGTTTGTTGCGGCGCTTCTTCTCAACACTTGCCAAATGTTGGTCTCGAAGCGCTGGTAGGGTAAAAAGATTATGAGACATGTAGAGGCTCCTTAAGAGCAAAATGACGATTTGTAAGAACTATTTATTAGTCTAAACAAATAAAGAAATTTTGACTTTGACTTTAGAACACTTTATCGCACGCATTCTTTCATCAATACTTGTTTCTCAGAAGTAATAAAATATTCTACTAAATTAGAACACTCTTAAACCTCACTGTAGATACAGTTACAGAGGTGGAAACGAGGACTTAATTTCTCCTGTTTTCATGTCAACGAATCCGATGTAGATATACTGTTTGGCGAAATTAAGATTAATTTTAAGATTTCGGGTTACAACTCTATCAGCACTGGCACATAATATTGGGTCCGTGGCCGAGTCCCCCAGTGTTCGACGCACCCGTGGTCGACGCCCCCGGTCAGTGAAATTTGATTTGAAGCAATTTTTAACTATACAGTCAGGCACAAAAATGTTTATAAACGAACTAGCTGTGCCCGCGACGTCGTCCGCTCATCATTTCAGCGCGAGTAAAAAGGATGGATACCTACATACACTACAACTGGCCAGCCTCCTTCCTGAAGATATTGGTATTTTCAGCCAAATTTTTGCTGCATCGTATTTTCTTTAGGGTAATCAATGATACAACACACAACATCAGAAGTATATTCTTTATTGATGTCCCGATACTATGTTAATATTGTGTCTGCGTCTATGGATACACGACAAATATTGCATAAACATTTAAAATCGTTGAATAACATCAATGTGACGACGAACATATTTTTAATGACTATTTCTTAGATACATTTAAAAATTATCTATGAATCACTGACATCGTTTACAAACAAATCTTACAATTAGCTGGTTTAACATAATGTACTTATAAAAAACTAATAACATAATGTCCTCGTACTTATCTATACTTAGCTATAATAAATCTGTAGAGAGGTCAATTCTGTACATGAAATATATTTTCAAAATAACTATCAGAGGGTGATTAGTGATCGATACTGATGCCAAAAATGCAACCAGTAAAATTTTTGTCTGTCTGTCTGTCTGTCTGTATGTTCCTTATAGAAACAAAAACTACTCGACGGATTTTAACGAAACTTGGCACAATTATTCTTCGTACTCCTGGGCAGGTTATAGGATACTTAGGAATTCCAACGGGAACGGGAATTAGCGGGAAAATCCTTTTGTATGAAAAATCTAAACCGCTTAAGTTAGACGCTTGAAATTTGGCATGCAGATATCTTAGTAGATTTAAAGCTTAGTTACAACAGGATATTGCGAAATTCCCACGGGAACGGGAATTAGGGGGAAAATCCTTTTGTATGAAAAATCTAAACCGCTTAAGTTAGACGCTTGAAATTTGGCATGCAGGTATTTTGGCAACAGGATAAATTCCCACGGGAACGGGAGTTGTGGGAAAAAACATTTGTATGAAAAAATCAAAACCGCTTAAGTATGTCGCTCAAAATTTGGCATGCGGTATCTTAGTAAATTTAAAGCTTAGTTACAACAGGATATTGCAAAATTCCCACGGGAACGGGAGTTAGCGGGAAAAAACATTTGTATGAAAAGATCTAAACTGCGAAATGAAGAAAATGAAGGGGGTAAAACGGGATCCACGCGTACGAAGTCGCGGGCGGCCGCTAGTAAAAAATAAGTTTAACATAGAATATAATAAAAATAACTTCTATGTACAAAATACAATTCAAAGTAATAATATGGTAAAATAAAATGATATTCTAGAAAAAGGATTAAATTTCTCGAAAGACATTATGATAAAATCCAAGTTTTAAAAACTACGAATATAGTTTTGCTAGTACCGAATGCTGGAAATAAGCTTCTTATGTCCACTAGAACAGGCTTTGTCGAACAGGGAAACCAGGATATACGTTTTGACTACGGATTTAGTTTCCATTGTTTAAAAGTTCCGAGAATGTGTAATAATGTATTACTGCGTAGGTAACTAACTGAAGGACCTTTCGTGAAAGGATAATTCTAATATGCATAGAAACTCTATAAGAGTAGCTACAAATAAATTATGTCTTTGGAAATGGATAAAGCTAAATTTCAAACGATGCCAGCGCTTGACTTAAAATATAGTTATTTAAATTTAAAAATTCGATTATACAATAATAATTGATTGATTAAACACACAAGAATACTATTGTTTCTATGTCATATGTATGTAGATATTTTGTAACTAATACGAAGTAACTGCTAAATTACGTATTTCATGCATTAAGTTAAAATACACATTGATCTGCTTACGCTATGTCAACATTGAACATGGAGTAAAATATTTAATTCCAAAAAGTACATATTTAAAAGAATATTCCAACGGTAGACAACTCGAGTCGGGTTCCAAAACGACCATAGGATAGGACTATACCATTTTGCAATCACACCTTTTCGGCTTTAATTTTTTTATTAAAAATCTCTCAATAAGTTTAGTGATGTTGTCCTCTTTGGTCCATTAGATCTAACCTAAGACTTTGGCATCAATCTTTGGTAAATATAAGCTTCTCTTGATACCCTTTAGGTAGGTAACTACTACAAGTCTTACGATAGACAGTAACTTTGAAGTCTATGAAGTTATTTTAGTGCCAGTTTCTATTATTGTTTCCTATTTAGATCAGTGACTATTACGTACTTACGCTACAAAATATTATGTGTAACAAGTTTGCACTACGTTTTGTAGAATAACTCGTAATCTTACATATTGTTAGAATAGGCTAGTTGCCTAAAAAAATTTTTTTAGTCCGTAATGTTTAATATCAAAAAATATTGGACACGTATATTTTTATTTGTCAATCTAACAAATAATTACATAGTTATGGTGCGTTGAAGTTGCGCACGACGTCACAACGTGCGGCATTTTTAAGCAAGCGTTGACGTCACGGGCCTCTTCTTATGAACTTTGGGGCGCTTTATCTCTTTAATTTTCATTAGTTTGAAAAAGTGAAAAATACGTGTAGAGTATTTTTTGATAAGTTAACTGACGGACTAATTAAAACTCTTGCTTTTTGACCCAGGCAACATCCACATTGTGTCTGTTTTTATAATGTAAGTGTACTTATAATGACAGTTCCTACAATTTTTTATTTTCAGTTAATTCTAAAGCAATATGTAATTGAATATATTTTTATTTTAAAAAATTGAAGTAAGTACAATATATCGTGGATATTGTATTTTATTAATTATAACTCATAGAATTGCCATATAAAATTTTTGAGAATGTGACTCTTTAGAAACACTATTAATTCACCACATCAAAACTATTGAGATAACGTAGTACATAATTGATTAATAATTCTATTATATTTATAATAATGCTGGTGAAAACACTTCTATAGATTTTATTCAGGGTGAATTTAAGAGGTTCAACATAGAAATTGGGGTGCACGTCTCCACTAGCTACCAGTATTTTTACAAGCTTTTTATGACCCAAGAAACATTTTTCTCTCTTTATTTTACTTTGATATGCCAAGATAATAATATGTTTTTGATTACAAAAATGTGCCAACTTCTCATTATGTTCGTCGAATAAAAATCACTTGATATGTAAACATATATTCTTCATTATTTTATGTTCTACCCTAATTTTATGCACGTCTCTTTTAGGTGACGTATCTAATTTTTTGGCACCTTTTAAAGTCTCAATCTTTTCTAAATTATATAATTTTATTAATTTTGGAAAATATTTTATTAATCACTTTGATTGCACTGAACGCAAGTCATTCAACTGCAATTTAACCATGACGTGAAACAGATAATGAATGATATAATATTTTTTGATTTGAAAAATAAACGACGGTTTGGTTGGTAAATGTTTACTTTGTAGTATGCCTTGTCCATTGGGATCGTAGCGCAGTCATCATTTCGCTGCGATTCGGTACTTTCTCGCTAGTGGAGCGCGTAATAGGGGCCGCCGGAGCCGTTAGGCGGTCGGGCACTTTGAGGCTCACCCCCGAGTGGCCTTGCGTATCGCTAGGCAGGTCCGCGACGTCTGAAGCGCTCTCCGAGGGACTCACTGGCACGATCAGACGAACACGGCCATCGTCACCAGTAGCCGTCAGCGTACCATTGTGCGACAATGGCATTATAAACGGCAGGCCGTCATCCGAACTAAACGCATCGGGCGTAGAATCTTTAGATGTCGAAGCTTGGCTGTTACTGAATAACGAATTTTCAGAGTGACCCAAGCTCATCGCCTGGGCTATGGCGCCCAGCTCCTCGGTAGAATTGCTTTTGTGCTTATACACACTGTGATTTAGAAGACTCGCGATGTCTGTGTGGCTGTAGTGATTTGTCAGTGGTGGTATATTCGGGAATGCGTTGCAGTTTTGAAAGAATTGTTGGTTGGCTATTTTCTTTTCGGTGAAGTCATTGGGAAAACCGCCCATGTCTTGGAACTTTGAGATCAAGTAATTTTGGATTTGTTCGTTGGTCATTCCGCCGAAGGACGGAGCGGAGAACGGCCCATTTTGCGGCATTGTCGGCGTGGTACAGAACGGAGAAAATTGGTTGTTGTTATTCTCGACGTTTTGTGTCATCTTTGTGTTCTGGGCGATAAGGTTGAGAAGTTGATCTGTGCCGAGCTGGATGTTGTTACCATTGACTGCAGCTTGTGCCTGTGCGTTGGACTTGCGGGCTTCTTTAGATCCAGAGTCACCTTTAACCTATATTTTTCAAGCGAAGACAAAAACACATCAGATAATTACATGAACATAAAAATAACAGTAGTATTAAAGTGATTACTTGCCTCGTTCTAATTATAAACGGAAAACAATTAATATGGGATTTGCATGATCTCACTAAATGTATTTACGTATTTTAAATGTATTACATGCTTTGTTTGATAAACTAGCGACAGTAGTTTCTATAAATCGGTACAAAACAATTTTCAGACAAAATTATAGTAGGTACCTAAGTAATTTTAGTGGCTAAATTGATACTAAGAAATACAAAAGGTTAACGCCTCTTAAAGAAGCTTTGATCACTAAATAAATATGTAGAGTTTACAAAGTAATGAAGGTTATATTATAGTTCCGTACAAGTTTTGCAAAAACCCTTATCACTCACGTCTGTAAAAGGGACATTTTGGATGTAATGTGGAATATGAAGGTGCTTTTATCGCTTCATGGTTAACGAACACAGAACACAAAAAGAGGTTTCTATGTTCTGTGGCTAACGACTTTAATAAGAATATTTGTTAACTATTTTGTTAATTAAAATGTTGTATCAATTAATCGGTTGTTAAACCTATCGCCACTTAGTTCTATTGTTAAGTAATTACTATAGCAATTTATTTCTCTATTAATGATATAAATCGAAGTAATAATTTTACGTTTCGATGATCTCGAAATAAACTGATAGTTGGAAAAACAAATTCGTCTGCGGTCACCGAGGAATCTTGGTAATATACCTAATCTAGACTGGCTCGTCAGATCTTAATTTCCAATGACACTTACTTGAAATGTCATTGTCAATGTCAAATTAATTAAAGCATTCATGGCATCACGTTACGATTGAGATCGCTACTAAACCCATATACGGGATATGGGATGGGAATAATCTATCACGAAAGACCATAAAATGTACATAATACTTGATAATGAGGCTTATTTGATTACAAAATAGATTTCTAAAAAAATAGATTCTATTATAAATTAAAGCGCTTCTGCCCGCGGTTTCGCCCGCACGGTTTTTGGTCAACGATAAATGTATAATATCGTGGTTTTTGGTTTGTTACATAAAGTCATTAAAAGGTAATTAAAAACTACTTACATTGTTTAAAAGACCTTTTAAAATTAGTTAGACAGTCTTATTTTTATCGATTCACCTGAAAGTTTCCACACGAACTATTTGAGTCTGACAGTTTTATTTTAATGAACGATCCTAAAGGTCCATTCTAATACTCGTAATTGCTTATCAGATGAGCAGTAACGAACATGACCTTGAACCTCTGAACATACAAACTTTACTTACAGTAGATAATTCATCTGAAGAAGGTTTTGTACCGATGATTTACAACTAGGAGCTATAAAAAGAAGGAGGCCAGTTTATCTTTTAATTTTCTTTTGAAGTATACTCCCCAGTGTTTGTAACATTAATAATAACAAACAAAAACTACTAAACTTTTCATATAGAATTCAGTTCTACGTTTCTTAAGTGTTATTTAATGCATGGAGAGTATGCTTTGAAGAGTTATTTAAACCCCTAACAATATTATGTGGTTCTACGAGTATAGAACATAATACATTATAAACCTGGATCAATTGTCAATAAATGAGGGCATTAGCAATTCACATACAATGTCCCGTAATACGGATAATGAGCCGTCTAATGAGCATAATTATTTCATTTATAAAGCACATTCAGATTAAATCACTTACCTAAATGTATTTAAAATTTCCCAAACGATATGATAGACAATTAGACAATTGATTCAGATGTTTTTTACTTAGGTACTTATATTAAAAAGTTTGACACATAAACTAATGAAATAGTAAACTAAGCGATCATGCACACACACGAGGAACTTGTGGAGATCAAAGCAGCTAGTGTAAATAATAGTACATTTTACCTACCTATTTTATTTATTTTACGTTCCTATTTTAGTAGGCTTGAAGGTTTTCTAATGAAAAAGCAAAAACGGGTCTATATTCGTTTGCACTGACTGATTCAGACCGTGATGTACGGACGACGGCATATTAAGAATCGAAAACGCGGAACCGGGAACGCGGGTTCGAATCCCACCGCGCTCGACTATTGTGGTGAGCCCACTCGTAACAGAAGCTTATTAGCTTAACACGAGGGGCTAATGGGACTATTATTAATTTGGGCAATACAAATTGCTAATAGTCTTTAAAAAAAACATAGGTAGTGGTTTCTTACTTAGCTCGTTGTAATACCGGCTATTTAACAACAAAATGTATAGTCTTATTTACTGCCGTATGTAAACCAATCCTCTTTTTCGAGTAGCGAATTTGGAATCGTGAAAAAAATTATGAACTTTCAAAATTGTTATTTTTAAGCGATTTACACCACTCGTTGTGTGAAAATACTAAAATCTAAAAAACAATGTGATTGCTTTGAACTACGCGCCAAACTCTTCGTGTAGGTATATGAAATTGTCTCTAAGGGACACTAATGCCCGTTTTCACCATCTATCCCTAATTTTTAAGTGACCCCTATAAAAACAAAATTCCTGTTATGTGTTACCATAAGGATCACTTAAAAATTAGGGATTGATGGTGAAAACGGGCATAAGGGACACATGACACGTCTATAGCAAATGAACAAATAGCTAAACAGTCATGCACGATCTTGCTTATTATTTACATAGAAGTTTGGAGTTTATGACTAAAATCTATAGGTATCCATGGACCATGAGCAAAAGCACACCTTATTGTATTAATAACTGAATATTCATTAATAATTTACAGTCATATAAAACAGTTTTCTATCTATATTATTAACGCTTACTACTCGGATTTTATTTAGCAATCTAATTACTTAACTCTTTTTGAGGTATTACGAACGACAAAAACAATTTATACGGTTTTTAGGGTCCCAATTCGTCTATCCGCAGTTTAACTCAGATTCATCGTATCAAAACCCTTTGTCCCTTTTTTGCTTAAATCAGTTACCAAATAGTTTCAGCTTTTATTTATGGTCCTATAGATAATCACAAACTAAGAACTACAATTTGAATAAAATCAAGCAGTATGGGTGATTTTTTATAGATGTAATTAACCTTTTATCTATAAAAATACACTATCACAAGAAAATTATAATGTAAAAAGACACAGACGCAACACAACATAGTATGCAAAATGTAACGTGACATGAATAGAACTTTTTGTTGATGATTCGTGATTGTTTCATGAACTTCAGAAAGAAAGATTAGAGTAGTTCATGCCATTCAATAACAATATTAATTATCAAGCATCCTTATACGCCATTCTGAAAAGGGATTAGTAAGACTATTCCCACCTCTTGTTCCCACCTCTGCAACTCCTGTGTAGTCAGGATCTACAGCTTGACAGCCAATTAATACACAACCAGTGAATGTGAAGTTTGTTTCGGGGAAAAGTTAAACTGTCATTGGACGGGTAACGAAATTAATCAGAAAAACATGGGAGGAGTTCGAAGTCAAGGTTGAACTTCCCTTCAGTGCGAAGCGGATGACAGGTGACAAAACAAAGGTTTGGATCAGAGGTGGATTTTTAATTAGCGAAACAGTATTTTAATCTTCAGATCTTGCTGAGGCCATCATCATCATTAGGTAATTCAATCCTGGGGGATGGTGATCCTCTATATTTACCAGAGACAAATTGAGGATTTAGCCTACACACACACACCTCTCTGGCAAAAATGGGTAGGTAACTGGAGCTAATATTGACTACTCAAACAAGTCAAAGAATGTAATATGATTTTTAGGTAAAAAAAAATAGTTCTCTAGTAGGTATCTAAAGAAGTTACGATGACGCACACCTACTTAATAAACAATACATGCTTCAGGCATTCAGGCTTTAAGTATTAATTAAAAACATACAAAAAAAATTGAAGCTATTATTTACGCGAATATTACCTACACTTTTCATAAAAAAGTTGTAACTTAATCATGTTATGAAAAAGTTAAAATAAAAGTATGGCTATAAGTTTTAACATAATTAGACATAAACGAGAAATTTTAACTAGTTTTCGTGAAGCTAAAACAACACACAGTATTAAAGTAATTTTAAAGCGACTTCAAAATTAAGTCTTCATAATTGCAACATTTCGTGGGCATGGATGATCTCCGTCGTAAATATTACATTTTGCTGGGAAAAACTTTTAGGCCGGGTAATTTTGATGTCGCACTTGTTTTAAAAATAGGTGGCTAATTACACTATCATCTTGGGTAACATAACATAGGTATAAAAAGTGTTTCATTTACAAACTTAATAATTTTAAAAATAAAATAGATAAATGATATTTTAGATACCAATCAATGCATCATCCTTCGATAAAGAAAAAAGTTTATATCAATATTCTATTAGAATTTAAAGTTCTATGCGAAGCCACGGTAATATGACGAAGTTACCCGAGATGACTGTTAAAAGGTTGAGTATAAAAACAAAAAAAAAACGAGCAAAAAATCTTTGAAATCCGAGACGGTTATGTTTTATCTGAGAACACTGACTCGAATTAAATCGGGGTTTAACTCAACATCTATCACGACTGTTTTCAGTATGACATCAAGCCACCTGGCATCTTCTTGGATTGTGCGATTTTACAACCAAAATTAATAATAGCCTGATGTTCTGTCCCCTCTACGTACATCACTGGCTCATAAAGACAGTAATCACAGCAATTTATATTGCCACAGTAATGAATGTCAAATTGAAAACAATTGCAATTAATGCTAGCCTTGATCACACCTACCGAGTGGACGGGCGAGACAGTAAAATGATACTTGGCCGAGAGAGTTGGGTGAGCGAGTCACCTACTCAAGCGCTCGGCCGAGCACTCGGCGTAATGTTCATACACACCGAGCACTGTCTGGCCCGTTTGCTCGGTACGTGTGATCAAGGCATGAGTCACATAAAAAAGAAGCGGGTTTAATCTGCTATGGACTAACCTGAGGCAGAAGTGTCAGTTGCTGAGCGCTGATAGGCCTAGAGGAGCCCCTCTCGCGCTCCTGTAGATGAGAAACCAGGGCCGCGATGTGCTCCAACAACTCCTTGTTATGGATCAGGAGCTGGTGGGTACGAGCCTGGAATACCAACAATCTTAATTCAGAAAAATCCGGAGTACCTACTTGTAACCTCTTTTTCTTTTTCGTGTCTACGCCACTATATCCAGTCTGATCAAAATTTTGCGCCTCCAAATTTTCGACCAAACATTTAGGGTGTTAGAAAATATTGTGTGACGATATTTTCTAACACCCTAAAATTGATTTAAAATACTTTTGATTGAATAAACAGATGGGTGCAGATCGCTTCATATTGTAAACTACTATTAAAATAAACCTACCTGTTATATTATTTCATTAAACCTCTGTACCGTGATTCGAAGCATAGACAATATAAGAATGTCGTACTATTTGCCTCTCTTTCTTTCCTGTTGTTAGTGTGTATATAGCCGTCTCTGTCGCACACCTCCCCCCTCTGGCCAGGCAGCGTGAGCGCTGCGCGCTTTCGTTTTTGCCATTGGCGTCTTTTGCCTCGTCGAGTNAGAATTATGTGGATGGTCCAACGAACAAATAAACTTCTTAAAGTCTGCCTGGAGAACCTCAACATTACGCACGTATAAACCAGCATGGTCGAGATGGGTCTCTTGGAGTCGCAAAAACAATATAAATACTTGTAGTCCTTCAGGGTCGGACTTGGCGCGTTTTCTTATTGACCTTTATCAAGTGGAAGGACTGGCCTATAACACAATATTACTACATAAATCGGTAGTGGAAACTCTGTGTAATTCAGATGCTTCTAAATTATCAAATAATTCTGTCGTGAAACATGTTCTGAAAGCAATTTCACTTCAAAAACCAAATAAAATTAGAGCCCCAACATGGGACATCGATATAGTGGCCTCATATCTCGCTAGAGCAAACGTCAACACGTCCAGTATGTATGAAACATCGAAACACTTGGCGATGCTTTTGTTATTATGTTCGGGCAGAAGAGTTCATGACCTAACGCTGCTACGTATAGACGCAGATCATTGTTTACTTACTGAAAACTACGTTGTTTTTTGGCCTGAGTTTGGATCCAAGACCGATTCAGCTACATATCGGCAATCTGGATGGAAGTTACTACCAAATACAGTAAATCCGCATCTGAACCCTATAACCTGGATAAACAGACTGATCACTCTCTCTGCAACAAGGCGGGAAGTAGCTAAAGTAAACAATTTATTCCTAACTGCTTGTGGGAAACCAAGACCTGCATCACGCGCTATTATTGCCGGCTGGATAAAATCTGTGTTAATGTCAGCTGGTATCTCGGCTACCCCAGGAAGCATAAGAGCCGCAGTTGCAAAATAATCCAATCAATAAGTTATTTGAAACAGTGCCTTAATTATATTATTTTGGTCCTGTATTGTATCAAATTTTCTTTTGGTTATCACAATATAACCTTTTATGATTGTGTAATTTCAATATGATTCCATTGAATTTGTTAAGTTTTTCGGATAAATAAAGAAAAAGACTTTAATTTTGTTCAATGGTTTTATTTCTTTTTTGTAACTGAATAATAGTTATTAATAATAATTTACTCAAATAGTCGCACACCAGGATCACACATACTTAATTTTTATTTTTCACCCCTAAGCTTAACTTCGTTTAATCCTGAAATATTATGAATTTAGTAATTACATACAAATATCATTAGATGTCCCTGTCTCATCTGTGATATCACTTTAGCAACCTCCTCGGCCAGGCGATAATAAACACATCTCATATTGTCTATGCTTCGAATCACGGTACAGAGGTTTAATGAACGTGTTTTACCTACCAATAAAACACACATTAAACCACTTACCTGATTCGAAGCATAGTTTAATTGCTGCCTGGCTAAGCAAAAGAGCACAATGGCAAAAACGAAAGCGCGCAGCGCTCACGCTGCCTGGCCAGAGGGGGGAGGTGTGCGACAGAGACGGCTATATACACACTAACAACAGGAAAGAAAGAGAGGCAAATAGTACGACATTCTTATATTGTCTATGCTTCGAATCAGGTAAGTGGTTTAATGTGTGTTTTATTGGTAGGTAAAACACGTTCATTGTCAAAAAGCTAAATACAAAGAACTAAATAACAATAGAATTAATTGCACCGAGTCCATTCTCTAATAAAATACGAAAAATATTTAGAAAGCATAAATAGCTGGATTATTGATTGTCGATTGAAACCTTCATTGGTTCGTGAAGTTAAAATACTCGCATTAGAACAAGATAAATATTGTTTTATTGTTCAAGAAAATACAAGATTATTTTAGTAGCAACGTTGTGTTAGTAAAAGGTGTATCGCGCTAAAAGAAATTGCATTTTTGCGGGGGGATAAATTCCGCAAGTACGCGAAACCTAAATATTATTCTACCTGGTTCAATACTGCTGTTATTTCAGCAATTCTAGTACACTAGAGGAGTCGATGCAATTAGATCTAGTGCCTCTTATGCGAGTTCCGCAGTTTGCTTATGTCTGCCCCTTGGTGACGAGAGGTCTGCAATTAGACGCTTATTGTCTCAGCAGTATTTATTGTCTATTATAATAAACACCTCTATTAGCATGAATATTATTTTCTCCGCAACATTTAGATATAAATAGCGGCCGCCCGCGACTTCGTACGCGTGGATCCCGTTTTACCCCCTAAGGGATGGAGTTTCGTAAAGTCGGTTCTTAGCGGATGGCTACACCCTATAAGAAACCTACCTGTTTCAAGTTTGTAGGTGTTATAGTTTCTGAGATTTCGTGATGAGTGAGTGAGTCAGTCAATCAGTGTGACCATTCGCTTTAGATATAGATAAAACGAAAACCAAACTTAATCGTCTCTAGCATAATCCTCTCCAGCACAGTACGACACGTACAAGAACTAATTAACTAACTAAACGTACACTCGACTGAAATCCAATGATTGCCAATCGTCTATGCTAAACATTAGCCTTTCTCTAGCTGCGCTAAAGTTCAGGCACCGAACTTAGATCGGTTTAGGGTTACTGTCTGGATTAGTCCGGACATGTTCTAACTTTGGCTCTTCGCCCGAACTTCGCCCGGCCTTTTTAATTTGCCCGGATTTGATTTAGGTGGAAAAATGCTCGCGCATGTGAATAAAGGTTCTGAAATGGCTTCAGGACTTTTAAAGTTATAGATGGTAAGCAAGGGTGTTCATAAATTTTAGTTTGAGGTAGGTAAAGCTTATACATCTAAAATGGTTTTCACAGCAGAAAAAGAACTACATTTTTAAATTGAGTTATTGAAAAATCCAATTGTTCAATCTATGGTTTGGATATCAAATGATTTGGATAAGCCGAAGATAAGGAAAAATGGCGCGCATTGGAGTGAGCCTATGTCAAAGAGGGCTATGATGATATCGACTGCCTCATACATAAGTTTAGCATAATGTAAACCTTCCCATAACCATACGAGTAAAGTACCGTTGGCCGTTACACTTTTAGGTGTGTATAATATGATATGCACCATAATCCCAATTTATGTTACCTTCTTTGTATGCCTTAAATCAGCTTTTGAGTGTTGAAGGTTTAGAGGTTCGGACCATAATCCCCATTTTAAGTTCGTTTCATACCTATTTGAGTCTCGGTCGGAAAGGCCCGCCTTTTCTTCGACGAGATGGTTCACTCCCTGTGAAGCACCTCTCGTTGCACTATATCGGGTGTTTTAAAGTATTTGGGAGGTTCTGATCATAATCCCCATGTTCCTTACTTGAGCCTCGCATTGCGCTGCCTATTGCTTGCACCTGCTGCTCCAGACGTTCCCTCAGCAGTTGCAGTTAGTGTTGAGCGCTGAGCGGCGTCGCGTCGTCAGTATTGGTCATGAGATTAATGTTCAGAACGCACTCCGGTAAGTGACAATGTTTAACTTCCAATAACCAAAATGTACCTACTGTTAGCTACCGTCCTATTGCTGCGTTACTGCCTTTGATGCACCACGCTGAGGGTAGCGTCTAGGGAGATCTACGGAGATCTGGTATTAAGAATGTTTGGGTTTGGACCATAAATCCCATGTTCCTTACTTGAGCCTCGCATCGTGCTGCCTGTTCTGCAGCCAGCTGGTCCCTCAGCAGCAACAGCTGGGCCACAGCAGCGCGCGTCCGCTGCACCTGCTTCTCCAGACGTTCCCTCAGCAGTTGCAGTTGGTGTTGAGCGCTGAGCGGCGTCGCGTCGTCAGTGTTGGTCATGAGATTAATGTTCAGAACGCACTCCGGCAAGTTACAATGTTTAACTTCCAATAACCAAAAAGTACCTACTGTTAGCTACCGCCCAATTGCTGCGTTACTGCCTTTGATGCACCACGCTGAGGGTAGCGGCTAGGGAGATCTACGGAGATCTGGTATTAAGAATGTTTGGGTTTGGACCATAAATCCCATGTTCCTTACTTGAGCCTCGCATCGCGCTGCCTGTTCCGCAGCCAGCTGGTCCCTCAGCAGCAACAGCTGGGCCACAGCAGCGCGCGTCTGCTGCACCTGCTGCTCCAGACGTTCCCTCAGCAGTTGCAGTTGGTGTTGAGCGCTGAGCGGCGTCGCGTCGTCAGTATTCTCCCCGTTGGTCAAGAGATCAATGTTCAGAACGCACTCCGGCAGGTCTGGCAGGGCAATGCTGGGAGCTGGTGTGGTGCGCTAGAAAAAACCAAAGAAGTTAAGCAAACAGTTTGGAATTAGATCCAGTAGTTCGAGTGATAGTCGAAACAATCTTAGGCTGAGTTGCACCACCTAACTATGAGCGTAACTATAACGATAACCGGTGCTTTTTGTATGGAGTTTGACAGATTTTTGACGTTTGTCAAAGTTAAAGTAAGATGGTGCAACCAAGCCTTAATGTTTAGGGATCAGAAAGGGGTGGAAAATGAGGTCCGTATTGCAAAAGAACATCCAAAGTCTGATACGTATATGGATTCTCAATCTCATAGATTCTGTTTCTGTGATTTGAATTGATCTAAATATAGAAATTTACTTAGGACACGCGGTTTACAGTCATTTGTTTTTTGTACGGATTTTCGTTAGTGTGCACCGGAATTCACACCGAAGCGTCCGAAGCGTGTTTGTTATTTATTTTGTGCATAGGTACTCATTACGGCTGAAAATTATCTCTACGGCTCTCTTTGAGCTTCAAGCCAATATCTGCATGTTCATGAACTTTACTTATGGCTACATTTGATTTCGAAATCACAAATATACGGTTTTTAGAGGTAACTATTTTCTGTATAACCCTACAAAGGCTTGTCATAAAAACGTTCATATAACGTTTTTATAAGATACCTACAAAGAGCGAGAGTATCTTTACGGTTTACTTACATCATACAATAAAAAAATAATGCCAAAAGCAAATAGTTAGTCCTAACGTATCTTTCGTAATATGTAAAGGCTTACAAGTAATATTACGTACGCAAAATACTTTGCGTAGAGGATAAGCTCTAATAATCCTGGATTATTAATTTTATGAAAGATCGCCGATCAGAGAGGTTTTTTTAATATAGGCATCTTTTACTCAGAATATAAACAATATAGTAAAGAATTTGTGTTTTTACAACATGCATGTGTCTATGGAATGGATCACAGTAAGTAATTTCCTTTTATTAACCTTCAAATTAATCTATGCCTATTTCAAATGAAATTAGAGCTTGTGTTACATTATTTGCAACATTACAAACGCTAATTTAAGCCCAATGCACAATGCTAGCGCTTTTAATTACGACTGATTTAGTAGGTTTTATCAAACAAGTATCGTACTAGCACCTAAAATATTTAGGTGCATTTTGTTAAGAAATAATTATGCAGATAGTTATTATTAGTTATCAGAACGCTAATAAAGATTTTCGAATAACTGTTACAGAAACGTATTAAATTCCAATATTCAAAAAGGCGTAAAAGTATATTTTTCTTTAAAATACATTTATTTTAATATTATCCATTCCAAAGTTTTTGCATTAACAAAAACCAAATAAGTCCAGTCCAAAACTTTGCATCGAAAATTCAAATTTAAAAGTCTGTCCATCGCACTGCGTCTGATAAGTTTGTGGTGCAGTTTGTTTCAGTTGTTTTTATTTTGTTTTAGTTATTTCACCTGTCAAACACATGCCTAAAGATAAACACGGAGCGTGGGCACACAAATTAGGGTTGCCAGGTCCAAAAACACAGAACCCGGACTCGGTGCTTAGCTTGGCAGCCATTTTATACTAAAAGCCGGACATACCTTTAACAGCAATCATAGCTTTATAAAAGCCAAAAGCCGAAAAATATTACATAATAAAAAATCGCGTCTTGGCTTTACTTAAATTGTGCGCTCGACTATCAAGCGGCGCGGCAGCCATATAAAAAGACTATCAAAAGACGGACAGGCCGGGTGAGAAAATATTTGGCTGGACATGTCCATAAAAAGCCAAACATGTCCGGCTAAAACCGGACTCCTGGCAACCCTACACACAATAGTTTCACTGTGGCTGTGTAAACGCATCCAACAAACGTTAATAATGAGCCTATCAATGGACACAGTGGATTTAATGAGGATAAAACACGTTCACTTAATTTTGCAGCAATCTAACCATATTGTGTTCGATACATCAACACTTTGCATTTGACCATTTTCGAATTGGACAAAGTGCGAAATTGCACAGTTGGACATTTTGCAAATTGGACGTAATGTGCCCAACCAAACGATTAATTGCTAACTTAAAGTAGTACGCTATAGATGCCATTAGATTAGATAAGTAGGTAAAGGACAATGACCAAAAATGTATGGAGTGTGGTCCAAAATCTCAATCTAACAAAAATATTTTTTCAAATCGGACCAGTAGTTCCTGAGATTAGCGCGTAAACTACTACAATTTTTCATATGGTCATAACTTTTTACTGACAGCTTATTTTTTTTTTCGTCCCATACTGAAAGTTAATCTCTATTTAATGGACTATAAGCCAATATAGGTCTCATTAGTGGTGGACATTTGGACCACTTTTGGTCATTGTCCTTAGAAATAAGGAAATAATTATATGAAATCAATGAGACTATCTATTATTTCTACTATTGCAGAAGAAAATATAATTAGGTTTCCGTGTACCAACAACATTTATGTCTAGATAACTAACTAAGTATTATTTACGGTCATTGATCTAAATAAGTGATGTCTTATTAGGCAGCACTTTTATGAACAAAATAATTACTTAGAACATCTAATAATTACTTGAAGTGTCTAGAATGAATTGTTGTAGATTCGAATCCATATTTTTAATAAAGTAAAGTGCTAGCAATCAGCTGAATTGAGGTACAATTTATTTGTACAATTAATCTAAATTTATGTTATGTAAGAGTGTATTCAATGCCAAGAAAGGAATTCCGAAAGAAATACAGGTTTGCTGTTCAGCAAAAACGTTTTATTGAGCAGTTTGTGGTGTACTAACAGCGTGACCGGGATGCCCGAGAGCATTTTCTTTGTCCCCGACGTTCTAAACACAACAGTGCAGACTCTCGCTTGCTGTGCTGCAGAATGAGCTGCGATATTAGAGCCAAACACACGATGCGTTGCGCCACCGCACTTATTTATGTATACTTTTGCACATAATACTGATGTACAGTGGCGGAATTAATGCCAGGTGGCATTATCTGTCAGTCAAGCAGAGAAACTAAGGTGGTGCAAAAATTATGAAGGTTTAATTAGATATTTATTGAGATATAAAGATTTCGCTACTTATTGTGTGTTTGAAATTCAAATTACAAATTCCATCGGTTTTTCCGGGAGACTACAAACGGGATGTTCGTGTGAACGTTAATATTAAAACACGTGGAAACAAGCCCAAAGACGACGCGGCGGCACCGTTCCAGCACAGTATCACTGTGGTTCCTGCGTCGCACCGCCGTCGCAACGCATCGTGTCCTTCGGCGCTCAAACTCAATGTCCTTACGCGAGATCTTTGCATAATGAATCGTCGGAAAATTCAAAGCCTCGACCGCAGCGCGTATCAAAGTAGTCTACTTGAATACTTCATTACGCTTGTGGCGCGGCCGAAGTGAGCTGCGAGGCAATATACTAAGTCTAGAATTCGGTAAGATGTTAGCGCAGAGTTCGTTGTTTTAAGCTCCATTATGAATGGCACGCTGGAATTTAGCAGAAATAAATTGTTCAGTGATGCGTTTTAATAAACATAAATAAAAAAAAACATTATTTGGTTTGTAAAATCTAAGAACTGCTGGAATAATTTATAGGCTGCTTCTATATCAAGGATCTAAAAAGTTTTCGCGGAACAGTGTTTGTTACAAAACAAAATCGACGCGCGGAAAAAGGTTACTCAGTCACTAATAAATTAGTAAGTTAATCTACCCAATAAAAGACAGGCGTAACTTTCTGACGGCTGTACTCTGACTCATCAACGCCTACCCTTGATCGATTCGGAAAGAATGGTCTTTATTTTATAGTGCAGGCACTGAGAAAGAGTTTCACTCATTGTAACCCCTAATACCTACTCTTAGAAAGGCCATAAAAGATTTTTTAAACTTTTAAGTCTTAAGCCAGTTTTCACCATCAATCCCTAATTTTTATGTGACCTATGAAAACAAACTTCAAGAATGCAAAAAGTTAACATTTCATAGTTAAAAAAAATTGACAAAAACAAATAAAAAACTTCCGAAAATAACCTAATGCGTACAGGCGCCCAAAAAAGAGACTAGTTAAATCTAGTCGGTTCATGTGTCTTAGCATCCCCTTTATTGACAGAAAATAAAGGGGAACCTTTATTGACCATCACACGTGAAGCATGCAGCTGTAGAATGGTAAGTATAAGGGCCTATGCACACGGCGTTTTAAGCGCGCCGTCCGATACAAATGCGATATGTACACATACGAAAGTCGGACCTATCTATAGTGTGGAATTTTGTAATGCAGGTGGCATTTATCGGTTATTTTCTGAAGTTTTTTATTTGTTTTTGACAAATAACCTATTTTTTTCCTGCTGTCTAAGTACTCTTAGTAAAAAAACCATTGAATGAGTTTCTTTTAAAAAATAAAGGAATATTTTCTTTAAGTAAAACTTTCTATCTCCAGTTTTAAGAGTACTTTCCCTTCAGGTGGCATTACAAAATTCCACCCTGTACACTAACTAGTAGGCGTTTGTAGGAAAAAAGCGCACTCTCGTTGTGCGTTCAACAGAGCGTTTAAAATAGCTGTGTGAATAGGCCCTTAGATAATATCACTCGTTGATTCTGTAAGTAATTTTCGCAAGCCGATGATATTATTATCGATTTGATTTATTGCAACTGTTCCTGGATTCGATGTGGGTAAGCGATTATTGTGAGTACTGCATACTATTTTCGGAGTCTAGTAATAGACACTCGTATTTCTATTTCAATCGGCTTGAGTGAATTGTTTTCAACGAATTTATTATTTTATATTTAAATCGAAAATTCTATGACAACTCTTCATAATAGAATTAGATTAGACCAGTTTTTTTCCACGAGTTATTACTAAGAATTATAATTATGTATGTCAGAGTTATCTTAAATTATTCATATTTAAACAGCATTGTTTGAAAAGAGGGCCAAAATGATATTCACATGTGTCAATAATTGGAAGGCAAAGGGGTCGTAATTTATCCCATATTTCGGAACACAACGTTCGCGGCGTATGAAAATA